TCAGCTTCATTCACAACAAAGCCAGCAGATGTAAGTGTATTGTCAAACTTCTCATGCCATTGCTTAGGCGCTTGTTTGAGACCATACAAGGACTTCAGCAGCTTGCACACCATTCCCTTCTGACCTTCTAGTACATACCCATCTGGTTGATCCATATAGATCTCTTCCTCCAACTCTCCATTGAGGAAAGCTGTCTTAACATCTATCTGATGGACGAGTAGACCATGAGAGGCTGCCAGAGCGAGTAGTACTCGAATCGTGGTCAAGCGAGCAACCGGTGAATAAGTGTCGAAAAAGTCCTCGCCTTCTTTTTGGGTATAACCCTTGGCCACAAGCCTTGCCTTGTACTTTTCAATTGTACCATCAGGCCTAAGCTTTTTCTTGAAAACCCATTTGCATCCTACAGGCTTGCACCCATATGGGCGCTCGACGACTTCCCAAGTACCATTAGACATAATTGAGTCCATCTCACTGCGTACCGCTTCCTTCCAATAGTCAGCGTCAGGAGATGAATATGTCTCTTCAATGGTTCTTGGAGTATCATCCACAAGATATACAATGTAGTCATCTCCAAAAGACTCTGCAGTCCTTTGTCTCTTACTCTTTCGAGTTGTTACAATATTATCCTCCTCAGGATTTTTCTCAAGCGTTTGATCAATATGTTCTATCGGCACAAAGTGCTCAGGGGATAAAATAGGTTCTTTACTAGAAGTGCTAGGTGCATTTTTCATAGGAAATTCATTCTCAAAAAATATGGCATTTCTAGACTCAATAATTGTACCAACACGCATGTCGGGTACTCCAGAATTTACTATTAAGAACCTATATCCCACACTGTGGATAGCATAACCAAGGAACACACAATCTACGGTCTTTGGTCCAAGTTTACGCTTTTTGGCTATAGGTACATTTACCTTGGCCAAACAGCCCCATGTGCGCAGGTGAGAGAGATTTAATTTCTTCCTTTCCCATTCCTCGAATGGTGTTACTTCCTTATGCTTAGTAGGAATTCTATTCAGGACATGACACGCAGTCAATATTGCCTCACCCCACCATTCCTTGGAAAGTCCTGCAGTGTCTAACATGGCATTCACCATCTCAGTTAGAGTGCGGTTCTTTCTTTCGGCTACCCCGTTTGACTGGGGTGAATAGGGAGCCGTCCTCTCATGAATAATTCCATACTCTTCGCAGAAAGAAATAAACTCATTGGAAAAATACTCTCCACCCCTATCAGACCTCAACTGTTTGATTTTCCTTTCCAGTTGATTTTCTACCTCAGCCTTATAGATCTTAAAGTAATGTAATGCTTCATCCTTTGTTTTCAATAGGTACACATAGCAGAATCTAGTGCAATCATCTATCAGTGTCATGAAATATTTCTTTCCCCCTTTAGTCAACACGCCGTTCATTTCGCACAGACCGGAATGAACAAGTTCTAGTGGTGCCAAATTTCTCGCCTCAGATGCCTTATGAGGCTTGCGAGGTTGTTTCGATTGAACACAAGTATGGCACTTAGAGCCTTTGACTAAAATGAATTTTGGAATTAAACTCATGTTGGCTAAGCGTGTCATACTACCAAAATTCACATGACAGAGTCATGAATGCCACACATTAGACTCATCATCATCATTGCTTACATGGTTCACAACTTTATTACACATATCATCCAAGGAAAAGCGAAACAAGCCTCCGCTGTCATAACCTTTTCAAATAAACGTTCCATATTAGATACGACACATTTATTAGATTCAAACACAAGTCTAAAACCATCTCTACACAGTAGAGAGTCGCTAACTAGATTCTTCTTTATTGAAGGGACATGCTGCACGTTCTTCAGCTGCACGATCTTTCCCGAAGTAAACTTCAGATCGATCGTATCAACACCATGAACAGCTGCAAGCGATCCGTTTCCCATCAACAAGGAGGAACCTCTCCCGACCTGATAGGAAGAAAATAGGGAAATGTCAGCACACACATGAATATTAGCACCAGTATCAACCCACCAATCAGGTGAGTGACAGACAGAGAGAACTGTAGGTAAAAATTTACCATACCTCGATGTTCCTCCGCCCTCACTAATAACCATGTTTGCAGACTTCTTGTCCTTGCGCTCAGGACAATCCTTGGCCCAATGCCCAGACTTGCCACACACAAAGCAATCTCTTTTTGCCTTTCCCTTACCTTTCTTCTTAAAATTGGTTGTAGCCTTGGGTTTGACGTCAGGTTTGACTTTCTTGTTGTTGTTGTGGGATGCGTGAGGGTTCTTCTTCTACACCAAATTGGCGCTAGAACCTCCCTCGATCTTTTTGCCCAAGTTATCCTTTGCCCTCGCCTTCTCCTCAACACCCAAAGAGCCAATGAGATCAGTAAGACCGAACTCTTGCCTCTTGTGTTTTAGAGAAGTAGCAAAGTCTGACCAAGAAGGTGGCAATTTGGCAATAATGCCACCCGCCATAAACTTGTCCGGCAACTCACAATTGTTGTTCTCAAGTTCCTTTGCCAACATTTGAATCTCATGAGCCTGTCTCCACAACAGAACGGTCATCGACCATCTTGTAGTCATAGAATTGCTCCATGACATACAGCTCGCTGCGGCGTCGGAAACTCCGAACTTGGCCTCAAGTGCATCCCACATGTCCTTCCCCGAAAGCATGTGCATGTACACATCCACTATATTGTCAGTGAGTACACTGATCAATGCTCCACGGAACAAGCAATCCGAAGCCTCTAACTTAGCCTTCTCCTCAGGAGAGAGAGGCGGTTCACTCGGTTTGCCCCGTGAGACAAAGAAACAATGCATCGTTGTCAACCACAAAAGTGTACATGGTTTCCATCTTTTATAATTTGAACCATCGAAAGCATGTGGTTTTAGTGATGCAACAAAGCCAACTACCGAAAAAGACCTAGACTGCAAAATAAAAACAAAAATAGCTATAAAATTAAGTTTTAAAATTTAAATTCGACTGACTGATAAGATGACGAGCAGTCAATGACAATTAATTTCACACAATATACTAAATTTAAAGAATTTCGCATAACTCCTGATTACGAAAATACCATTTAGGTTCAGGAGAGAAATTCAACCTTTTGTGCATAACAAGCTAGTATAGAAATTGCTGACCATGCATGAAACAAGTTAAGGGGAAAAAGTTGTGTTTTCACCCGCCTACTAACGACGGTAGGTTGATGGAAAGCTAACGGAAAGGACAAATAAAATATGAAAAGAATGAGAATGAGGAGCAAATTTCACGAGAGCAAATAAGGGAATCAATCAATTCCGAAGGGCATCTGGAAAGCTAACGAAGAAGTTTCTCCTTGGTTTTAAGTGGAAGTCTAGTGCATCTGAACAGGCTGGCAAAAATTTCAATTTCCTGCGGTAACTAAAACTATTTGACTAATCGCCGGGTACATCAAATTAATATGATTGCATTCTAGTGCAATCATATCATCTGAACAACAGATTTAATTAAATGCATGCTCGACTGCGATCTTTCAAATAGGGAAAAAGGCTAGGTTACTTTTATGGGAGCAGAGTTGCACATGGTGCAGCATGTATACTCAGCTTGATCCCAGCAGTACTTGTCCTTTTGCATCGTTTCGGGCCAAAACTACATGACAGGATCTGGCTAGCTATTATTCACCCCGTTCCATAATATAAGAAATTTTAATATTTTACTTATGTTGTTTGACTATTCGTCTTATTTAATTTTTTAAATTATTATTATTATTGACTTACTTTATTATTCAAAGTACTTTAAGCACAATTTTTCTTTTTTATATTTGCACAATTATTTTTAATAAAATAAGTGGTCAAACAGTAGAAGCAAAATGTTAAAATCCCTTATATTATATTATGGGACAAAGGGAGTACTAGCTTATATATATATAATTAGTCACCTCGACACTCATTCCAGCTTAATTTCTTTATGATTTTAACCCCTTTCAAATCTTTACATACTTGTCATGATCTTCACCTTTCTATCAAATAGCTAGGGTCCAAAGAAGTTGTAGAAGAAGGTGATGGCCAGCTCACCTAATGTAATCTTGCTATCCAACAGTAACAGCGACGGGGAGGGTTGCTTAATTAGCAGCAACGAGTTGGACGTGAACAGTAGTTTAGCCAAGCTGTTAACGTTGGGATGGCTACAATTAAAGTAAGATCAACATCAAGATGCAAATGGTGGATTGATTAATTAATTTTAGAAGTAATCATTTCCGGGGCCTGAAAGGGATGTCACTTGGTGACACAGTAGATATATAACGTCGTAATACCTTTTTTTTTCATTGAAAGAAGAAATTAAACCTTTTCCGTTTTGGCTACTCGAAATTCTGTCTCAGTGGCTTGGCTAGCTCAGTAATGAATCAACTATTGAGCGACTCTGTGTTCTGTTACTGTAGTATATTGCACTCACTGAGTTGCACGGCTGCTGCCATAATCTGTTAACTCAGTGATGTTATTTTTAACCAATCCTAGAGAAGCCCAGATTCCATTGGTCTCTAGCTACTAGTACCTAAATTTGTGGGACCCATGGTTCCCTGAACCCACATTTTAAATATAATATAATATACTTATGGTTACTCTTATACTCACTTTTACATTTACTGTCAAATATAATTGATATCGCCAACGGTTGCGGAGATATATAGACAAACAGTCCAATAGTACATCATGGTCAAACAAACTTGAGTGAAAACACCAGTACTGATAATAGCCATATTTACCTCAGATGCGATTAGTGTTAGTTTTGGTTTCTTCTAATAATTGGCCTTTGTATATATGCAGTACGTGCCCAGCCTCCTTGGAAGATTAATTAATTGAAGAAAACATTGAATATTTTTTTATATTAACTAACTAGGCAACAAAATAAATTAAAACGCTAACGCCAACGTAAGCAGAGCAATGATAGATAAATCGCACACATGCACCACCAAAATTAATTAAACGATCGTTCGAGTTCGATCGAGCAGCTGATGAGGCGATCGAGAGAGCACGTACGTACCGTAGTCTTTTCTCCACTTCTCGTAGAAGGGCAGCACGGCGGGGCGGTAGTCGTGCACGATGCCGGCGCCGCTGCCGCCATCGCCGCTGTCGCGTGCTCGCCGTCGGCGTCGCGCCTCCGCCAGCTGATGCCTGGCGGCCGCGACGGCCTCCCGCATGTCGGCGAGGTTGCCGTAGGGGAAGGAAGGGCGCGGCCCGCCGATGCCCTGCCTCCTGAACTCGGCGAGCACCCGCCGCGGCGCCACCCACACGACGCGGTACAGGTACGCCGCGAGGCAGCACGCCCCCACGCACCACAGGCTCACCAACACCTTCGCCGCCACCACCACCACCATGCCCACCTCCATCTCTCTCTCACTCACTACGACTCTCTCTACGACGTTAATTAACTAAGCTTCTCCTCCTAGTGTTTGTGTTTGTGTGTGTGCAGAGAGAATGTGAGTGTGTGTGTGGGCGCGCGCGCGCGTGTTTCAGCTGGTCGTCAGTGTTGTGCGTGTATGTATAGACGGTGTCCGGCCGGGGGGGGAGAGGGGCCGGGGTTGCGAGAGCTAGAGTCCAAATGGTGACTTTGGCGCAAAAAAAAAAAGATACTGAAAAAAAAGGAGGGAAGTTGCACTCACACATGTTGTACATGTATGTAGGCTACTTCCTCCGTTTTATATTATAAGATTTTTTAGCATTGCTTAAATTCATATATATGTAATGAATCTAGACATATACATATACATAGATTCATTAATATCTATATGAATGCGGGCAATGCTAGAAAGTCTTATAATTTGAAAAAGAGGTAGTATGTTATGTTAGCTAGGGGGTGTAATAATACAATGCCTCCAAAGTGCAATGTCTATCCATTATGTTGATCGGATCCCTTATGTTTTAGCTTTGTTGGTGAATATCCATCTCGCCTCTGTGATGAATGAACAGATCAGGGGAGAGCTAGCTGAAGTGCAGCTCTCAACTAACCGATCTTATCCCGGCAAAGACGTGCGACAACCTAGCTGCTCATTATATTTTCGCCTTTTCGGGTGTAAAAATTAGTCACATCGATCATTGGATACGGATGGCAGGATGGGGCTTTGGTCGCCTGTAGTCACTAGTTTTTCACAAGCAATGCATGGGTGCAAAAGGGGTAAAGATGCATGGGGTGTTTGCTTTCACCCATTCGATCGGATCAATAATTGGCATAGTGTGTCCAGGGTTTGCATTATCGTCGGTTTACGTTCGGCAACAGGGATTTGCTATTAGTGTGTGGTAACGGAAATCACAATGTATATTCACCAAGTTTAATTTTTATTTTTTAAGATAATATTTTTTGTGTAAAATTTGTCTAGTTTTTATTGGTTTTGCTTGGTAAGTGGTTTGGTTATACCGCTAACCGACGGTAACAAAAAACCAAAACCCTGACAGTGTGCCATTTATTTAGGAGCAATTTTACGGTCTTTAAGGATGTACATGAGGTACCACGTTTTTTTATTGTAAATTTGGTATCTCTGGGTACCTACTACCTTGTCCCAGAAAAAGATAAACTCTAGCTACGAGTCCAGGTTCGTAGCTACTAACATGGACATATGCATGTGTCCAGATTCGTGGTTAGGATTGGACTTTTTTTTGGGACGGAGGGGGTAGGTACTGTTAGGTATCAAATTTTATAATAAATTTTTAGTATCTCATGTTGCCTCCTCAAGAATTGTAAAATTGATATTTATTTAGAGTGTGAATATGTGTGCACCTTGATTCAATGTACGAGCAGAGGCCTTGGATCTGCAATTTTAAGTACAAAAATGTTTCGTAAAAGAAACCGAGTGAAAAAGGGAGAAATAAAGTCCATCTCCGGTACACAAAACGATGTATACATTAATGCATGATTAATTAAATTTAGCTATTTTTTAAAAAAATATATTAACATAATTTTTAAAAACGATGTATGCATTAATGCATGATTAATTAAATTTAGCTATTTTTTAAAAAAATATATTAACATAATTTTTAAAGCAACTTTCGTATAGAAAATTCTTGCAAAATACACACCGTTTAGCAGTTTAAAAAACATGCGTGCGAAAAACGAGAGAGATGAGTTGGGAAAGTGAAAAAAGAACTCAGCCGTATATCAACTAAGAACAAGTTGAAGGAGAAGAAAATCCATATTTTTTTAAAAAAAAAGAGGAAAATCAGTATTATGCGCATTGCTTTGATTCCGAAAGGAGAAACGAAGTCCATACATTAATGATATCTTTTGTTTTTGCTTGGACATATTTTTGATATCGACTAACAAACAGGACAAAAAAAATGTGATTCCACACGTGGGAGTGCAAAAGGAAAAAAATAAAGCCTATATATATTATTAACATATTAGTTATATGGACAAAAAGGAAGGCCGAAGAGGCATATTTTGAGCACGTATCTGAATTCTATGGACATTACTTAAAGAGAGCGCTGCCCACATATCAATGGCAGATAGATTCGATCCTCTCTGCGATCGATCTCACGAAAGAAGAAAAGGCGAAAATTGGACATGAGCACAAAGTATAATCACACAATATATCAGTGCTTTTGGAGTAGTCTTTCAATCGATCTGCCATACATATATTTCTCCACATACGTTGTACTATTATTTAAAAGTAAGTGTTGATGTTGGATGTGTCTAGCTAGCTAAGTGTCATGCTTGTGCGGCCGTGCATGCATACAACGGATATATAGGAATATATATATTACATCGTTTGTCTAATCGGACAATCCAAAAATATCAAGAGCTCCATCGATTGGCGACGAGCTGATCATTATAATGCCAAATGATTTATTAGCGACCCAAGATTAGTATATATATATCCTTGGAGACTTAAAAGTCGGATGCTGAAAAAGTAAATACATCAAAAATATCCTAAAATCATCTCCAAAATTAAATTTTAAATTAAATTTTGGCAGCGCTTAATTTCATATAGGACAAACAATGAGACTGCAAGAGTTTTATGTGTTGCTGAATTGGCGGGTCCTTAGTCCTTATATGTGTGTTGCTATCATCCTTGTTGCTATCGTGGGAGATGATTTAGAGCCTTCTTGGCACATTTCTTTCTAAAAGGCTACATTTTATTTTAAATTTTAGAATTTGGTTTTTAAAGTTAATTTTAAGAGTTTTCTTGGCCTCTTTTATTGCCCAAGCCTTTATTTCACGATTGTTAAGAAGATGACTAATTTTTTAACCCAAAACTATTTAAAATAACACATTTAAAAATTTAATTTCTTATGGTACTATCGAAGTGGAGTTTCGTCCGTTCGTCTGTCATCCCTCTCCCGTTGCTCACGCAGCAAATTAAAAATTTGCTCCGCGTAAAAACCTAGCTAGCCCATTAAAAAAAAAACAACCCACCCTCTATATGAAAAGAGTCCCAGGACTAATATAAAAACTGCATATAGGAAAAAGGAGGAATTAATTGGTGCTAAGAGACCCACACCTGCAACCAAATGAAAACCAACCCTTTGCATTCTGCGTTAACCAAATAGGGCGGAAAGAGGAGAAAAACAACCATACTTATACACCAAATGTCAACCTGGAATATTTCTTTTACCTTGCATGAGTTGCATGACAAATTTAGATTTCTGTTGCAAACGTATAGGCAATTATCTGGTACTTTAGAAAATGCAACCAAGGTGAAGCCTTAATTTTTTATTACAGGAAACGATAAGGGAAATGTGGATGGTGGCAGGTAGATTTACATGCCCAATAGCTGTAAAACAAGATACCCGATGACAGTACAGTTGCAGTGAGAGAGATAGAGCGCTGATGGATTACAGGTTGGTTCTGGGCTGTCCGGCTGGAGTTGCGCCCACAACTGTGAGGCAGTACGAAACATTAGATCATCTGGGGGCCTTTGCATTGCATTGCCTTTGCCCTGCATGCCTGGCCTGACCAAGCTGAGCAAAGCCCGGCCGGCCACCAGCCGCAGCCAGCCCATGTGCCATTCATCAATTCCTCTCCTCGCCTCGTACAACAGCGTGCAGGCTTTACACCTGCCTGCCGCCCTCTGGATTAGTTTCACTGCTCCCTTTATATCCATAAATATAAAGGATTTTAGATTGTTTAGTAAAGTTAAACATAAAATTGCTTGGATGTATTGAAGAGTTTATTACTTGATTAGAAAAAACAATATCCTTTTACAGTGCTTAATTGTAAGGTATCTCACATACCTCCCAAACTCCTAAAAATCCACCGTTGATTTTGGGAGGGTAATTAAGGAAAAAAAATTACGCAAACATGGTTTGCATTGTGATTTGTCCTTAGACGTGATTTTCTCTAATTCCCTTGCATTTGTTCATTTCTTCTCCCACGGCGATGAACCCCTTATCCCTGATTTTCATCTTCCTAATCACCATAGATTTATAAATTTATTGCATCTTGAACTATTATATCAGTTAATTAATATTTAGTTACATATGATTAATTATATAGTTTTATAAGTAGTTACATGACCTATCATGCCAATAAATTACTTAGTTTTACTATTAATTTCGTAATTCCTGATCAATTACCTAGTTTTGGTACATGATCTGCAGCAATTCGTGATCGATATTGACACCCTGTAATCAGCGTTGCTAGCTCCTGAGTGTCATCTTTAAATTCCTGTTAATATATTTTTACCGTTTTGCCTTTCACACTTTGACGTGGTAATGATACAAATTATCTACTTAACCTTCCACTAAATTACCTAGCCCACATATCAAATACCTTCTAATAGGTACCTTTGTGTTTCAAATCGTTAGATTGAACAGAATCAACGGATCTCGTTATTTTGAGAAACACGGATCTTTCGGCTAGCTCAATAAGGGTGGGCTAGACGATCTGGGTCTGAAGTTTCACCCCTTCTAGTTATTTGATATTAGGTCCTTTCGTAATATTGATGTCTTTTTTCTTAGATCTCCTTATTTCCAAGCACAATAGAAGGTATTGAGAAGATAGTGCTCCTAGCAATGTACTATTGTCTGACAGAATTGAGAAGATAGTGCTCCAAAACCCCTTAAATTTGTGAATAATTTTTAAACCCCAGAATATGTTACTCTTTATATCTTAAAATATAAGAATCTAGAATCAGATATGATATTTTCTAATACTACGAATTTGAACAGACAACCTGTCTAGATTCGTAGTACGAGAAAATATTCCATATGATGTTACTCCCTCCGTCCCATAAAAACCCAACCTAGTATTAAATGTAACTCATCCTAGTACTACGAATCTGGACAAATATACGTCCAGATTCGTCGTACTATAATGTGTCATATTCAGTTCTAGATTAATTTTTTTTAGGACGGAGGGAGTATATTCCATTATTTTAGGACGGACTACTGTATACTACCTCCGTCCCAAAATAAGTGCAGCTATGAGTTTCCGCGCCCAACTTTGATCGTCCGTTTTATTTGAAATTTTTTTATAATTAGCAGTTTTGTTGTTATAAGATGATAAAACATGAATAATACTTTACTCATGACTTATGTTTTTAATTTCTTTCAAA